GAAATTTTGAAATTTCTGGACAAAAACGACCGGTATAATTACAGTGCCTGCGATTGCCGACGCACTGCAGAGGGCCCCTGTGCAGACTCTCGTCGCTCATTATCATCGCCCAGAAGAAAGGTGAAAAACGCTCCATTTAATCGGATCACCCTGCTAAAACCTCCATTCACGCATGCATGCAGAGGTTTTACGTGAAATGCATAGGGCTTTCCCAGCCACCGATTGTAGCTAAGTTGGGCATTCGGCGGAGACTGAGAGTGAATGTTGGAAGTGTGCATTGGAAGTAATTCGTCTTTTCTCCAGTGTTTTGTCCACTCGAGTGTGAACAAAAAGTTTCTCGTTTTTCGTGTGAAGGGAAGCGCTGCAAACGCGAACAAAAAAAATGTTTAACGGAACCAAAGGTTACGAACCCGAGGCGAGCCCAAGGTGGGGCCCTCAGAAGCCAGTGTTGGCGGCGGGCGCTAAGAGGCTAGGCTCAATGTGAGCCTGGAGCCCTCGGATAACAGTGTGAACCGTCGGGGTCTGTGTCGAATCTCTAAGGACCCCGCGTAGGGACATAAGAAACATGTGTTGCGGCCCTCAGAGGGACACGTCAGTTGTGACCCCTCAGATGCCGGCTTGGGGTTAGCAAAGTCTGTCGCCTCAAAAGTTCGGCTGAACTATCAGAGGCCAGTTAAAGTTCTCATAAATTTTCGAAGGCATCCTCAAGGATTCGTGTGGCCCTTCAGAGGTCTACGTATGTATAAGGTCCTCAAAGATGGGCTCTCAGAGAACATGGACACCAGTGGGATTCTCTGAGGCCGGTTTGGGCCTTCTGAAAGCTTCTTAGAGCTCAGTGGAGCTCCTTAGGAGCCTGCATGAAAAGCGAGCTCATGAGCCCTGCGGCACTTGAACGGTACTTGAGCCTGTCGCAGACATTTGACGGAAAGTTGAGAAAGGCCCCGAAGATTTCGTGTCACGCTTTGAACGAAAATTACCTATAAGGTTTGTTTTCAATAGTTAAAACACTGTTCTTTAGAATTGTGTTTTTCTATTGAAAAACAAATCTGAGTTCCCTGACAATTTGGCAAAAGCTGCCTGAGCTCAGTACAACTTGATGCTCGAGAAAACGGCTGCTCCAAAAATTCTGATTTTTTTTTTTCAGGATTTAATTCGGTGCACTACCCATGGGTATGTCGCCAAGTGGCCGGAAAAGTCCAGAACCACGTGCCACGTGCCGTTGAATGTGTATGTGTCAGCACTCCAAAACTTATGAAAATCAAATATAAAATGTAATTAACAACCAACTAGAAACATGGAATGAATCACAGCATTGACAATTCCGAGTTTGGAGTCGGAGTCTTGAAGGTATTGGCGACTGCAACTCTGACTCTGGTTTGAATTGCAATTTGCACGCTCCAACCAAATATGACCTCACAGACATTCTCAGAAAGGTACTCCCATTTTTCCCCGACTCCAAAATCTCATCGGATCTGTATCTATCTCAGGGAGTGCCCGGTCCGAGGTTGGGGGGGGGGGACAAGCTGTCCCGCTTGGCCCCCCCCCCCCGTGGCGACGCTAATGCCGCCGGGAGCGGGTGACTGCCGGCCCAGCTGAGGGACCGCCGCCGGCCGGCATAGGGCCGGCCGGTGACGCGCCCGGCGCGGCGCCTCTGCAGGCTCTGTTTCACGGCGCCAGCCGGGGACGCTTTTCACCAGGCACCGGACCAGCGCGGCGCGGCGGCACCTCTGGGCCAGCCCAGTACTGAGCCAGCGCTCTGATACAGTACTCGGAGCCAGATAATGAGCCAGTAATGAGCCAGTTCTCTGAGCCGTGCTGAGCCAGTGCTGAGCCAGTACTGAGCCAGCGCTCTGAGCCAGCCCAGTACTGAGTCATTGCTGAGCCAGCGCTCTGATACAGTACTCGGAGCCAGATAATGAGCCAGTAATGAGCCAGTTCTCTGAGCCGTGCTGAGCCAGCACTCTGAGCCAGTTTTTGAGCCAGTAACGGCCCGCCCCAGTGACCCCAGGCCAGTGCTGAGCCAGTGCTGATGACTGGTCTGCTGCATTGACTGAGGACCGGGCATTGACTGACACTGAGGACCGGGTATTGACTGAGGACTGGGTGTTGACTGAGGACTGGGTATTGACCGAGGACCGGGTATTGACTGAGGACCGGACATTGACTGAGGACTGGGTGTTGACTGAGGACCGGGTATTGACTGAGGACTGGGTATCGACTGAGGACCGGACCCGTGCCGCGGCTCCGAGTCTCTGACGGCCGAATTGATGAGGCCTGCTATCTGGCCGGGCCAGCCGCGCTGCAGTGGGATGGGGACGGGGAGGGGGGAGGGCGCCGCGCCGCCGCCGGGCGATGCACGTAACACGCCCCGGGGCCAAACGGGCCACCGAGGGGCACCGAGGGGCGGCCCAACAGCGCCAGGAGTTCCCGCTAACCTATCCAGCGCGGCAGGCGTGCCGACAGAGCCAAGACAGAGCTGTACATATGTATAACAGGAGTGAAACTATGGTGCAGGGAAGAGCGGGGCACTTTCTGCATGGGGCACATTCGTTTTCAGGCTTCAGCAGTTTATGGGAACACGAGTGACTGCACGAGCTCAAGGTCAATTATGAAAATATGAATTTCTATCATTATCGCCCCTTGTTCACTGTATGAAAGCAGCACTGTATCTGCGTCATGCTTGATAAAAATGCGAAGTTGTATTATTCGTACGCTTTCCAAACTTTTCACAGCATCCATTTTCGTGATCCTGACTCGGAAATGTGGTTCAGCTTTTCAAAATTGGCGACGGAGAAGCTGTTCACGGAAAAGATGTAAACTTGTTTTTTTGTGTCATTTTTTTTTTAACAAGAAATTTTGAAATATATTACAAATAACGTTGTGAGGCAGGTTCGTGTGCGTACTGTCTAGGGGCACATTTGTGTATAATTTTTTTCGTTCTTGCGATGTGACTTTATCTGTAGTAAGTTTCACTTATGACGCTCTCCTGAATGAGTCGTTGCTGCTTGCGACGTCGTGACAAGTAATTCACGCGACCTTGGCGAGGTCACGGAGGCGGGAGGCGGGCCGATGGCCGGCAGTTGGCACTTTCTTGTTAGCCAGCTCATTCTGTCTATATTTGTTGTGCAATGCATTCTTGTCGAAAGAAATCGAAATGCCCCCCCCCCCCCCCCGCCAATCTCTTTCGGTAAATTTCTGCTAATGCCCGGTAAGTTCTCGAAATTCGCAGGGTGCACGGAAGTGCCCCACCCCTTGCACGAAAGCGCTTCATACCTGGGGCAGTTTCGTGCAGACGTTCAGAGTTATCAAAAGTCTTTTTCTAATAAAAGCCATAATTTTAGAGCTTTTAAAAAGACAAAATATCTGCAATAGTTCCTTTCCATACTACAATCAACAATTTTACCATTTCACCAACCCAAGAGCAGACATATGGATTTATCTTTTTTTTTTGCACGAATGTGCCCCACTCTCCCTTATGTCAGCTTAAAGGTTGATGATCAATTATGCTGCGAAATGCATTTCGGACTAGACAATGCATAAACTCCTGCCTACAGGACAATATTCCAGCACTTCCAGCAAACGTTGCTCATTATGCCTGTAAATTTCGTACTTGTAGACTGTAGTTACGCTATACGGGAGTGCTCGACTTCCATTTTGTCGGCCATACAGTAAGTTCATTCACAAATACCTAATCCCCAGCCCCGAGTAGACATTTCATTTATCTGCTCAACTTCATCTGAAGTGAGTGACGATACGCGCGGCAGTATGGGCTCATTCGATTGTTTTCTGCGTAGTTTTCCCAGCATTAGCTTACCCGCACTGGGGCTTGTAAGAGCCTGGCAGCCACGCGGTATGAGTCTCCCGTTTTGGACGGGCGTCGCACGGGCGACACATTCGGCTTGTTACCGGTGACACCGAGCTCGGACCTTACCCCAGTCCGCTCTGAACTTTGCCCCAGTCCCGCTCTGAACTTTGCCCCAGTCCCGCTCTGAACTTTGCCCCAGTTCCGCTCTGAACTTTGTCTCAGTGCCGCTCTGAGTTTTACCCCAGTGCCGCTCAGAACCAAGGGCGGTCCCAAGGACCTTACCCCGTGCCGCCCTGAGCCTTAGCCCAGTCTGGCTGGCCGAGATTACTTTACTAAATGGCTGCCGGCGGGGACCTTATCCCGTTGCCGCCCTGAGTCTGAGCTTTGCTCCAGTTCCGCTCTGAGCCCTAACCCAGTCCGGCTCCGGACCTCACCCTAGTGCCGCTCCGGACAGGGGGGGGGGGGGACCTCACCCCAGCTCCGGACCGCGGGGGGACACGGACCTCACCCCAGTGCCGCTCCGGACCGCGGGGGGGGGGACCTCACCCCAGTGCCGCTCCGGACCGCGGGGGCGGCGCGCCGAGTGGCAGCCGCCGACGGTGGCCGGTCTATTCGTGGCGCGCCGCGACGTATTCGGCGCGCCGCTGGACGGCGGGACATGACGGCGTCACCGGGTGTCCGACCCCCCCCCCCCCCCGCCGCCGACTCCGGACCCGGGGCGCCGTGGAGCCCTGGACTGGGTCTCAGACCTGGCCGGTGACAGAGGCGGCCCTATTCCCGGCTCAGAGCACGGCCGTCCGCTCCTAGCAATATCGCAGTGACGAGCGGCTCCCGGCCGCCGGCCGTATGGCAGAGGTCTCCCCCCCCCCGGTCCGCCCACGTACCCTGTGGCCGGAACCTGCGCGAACCGCCCCCCCCCTCTCCTGTGCATCGATCGCGATGACGTCACGAATCAGCGCCGGCTGCCGGCGGCGGTGTACGCGTGACATTCTGGAACGATCGGGTGCGTCTATCAGCGGAGGGGGCGGGGGCGGGGGCGGGGGCGGCCGCGCGCGCGCCGACCTTGCCGCCGCCGGCGCTCCGCTCTGCTCAGTGTGTGACGTCACTCAGCTTAGGGTGTGACGTCACTCAGCGGCAGCGGGCGGCGCGGCGGCGGCGGCGGCGGAGCGGCAGGCGGCGGCAGTTGGTCGGGCGCTGCTGCTGAGGGAGGGTGTTCGGTACTGAAGCAGCGCGCGCGGTCAGTCTAGTTCAGACGGTGCAACACAACTGCTTCTCTCTGTCTGTCTGTAATTTGAGCGCACAAGCCGAGTCTCCGTTCCGGCGCTCACAGCGGTACCTATCGACTTGGTCTGCGCCTGAACTGGTGAGTGGCGGCGACGAGCAGTAACTGCTCCAGCTGTTAGCTACTGATGTAATAGAGTTACTGATGGCGGACTTCATCGGCCAGTTTTCATTTCATCTTTCCCCCAGTCTTCCATCAAAGAGTGGATCCATTGCCGTCTTCGCCGTGTCGATGTTGTTCTTCAGCGGCGCCGCACACAGGGTGCTGCTCCATAACACAATATTGAACGCCATATTTTGATCGAAGCCGAAAAAAATGCTACTGGCTGCATATATCTTACCGTCGTAAAACATTCCAAAGTTTTCAAAATAATGGTCCATTAAAGAGTCCACCTTTAAACTGAGGCATAAATTATTTTTGTCTTTGAAAACCCCTTTGTATAGGCGGCTGGGGCGTCCTAACACAGAAGTAGCTTCAGTTGCACGCTGCACAGGAAATGATTGGTGCGTTGTGTCATCCTTTTTCTCAGGCCCAGTGTGGCTTTACGGATATATTTCGCCGCATCCGGTACCCTGCATTAGTTTTGTAGGTCGTCTTCATATGGCTATTTGCTGACGTAAAATGTAAGTACATTATGTACTATGTAGTTCTGTCATACCTATGTATATTGTATATAGTTAGGTAATTATAAAGTTTTGTTGACCTAGGTGTCTGCCTGCAGTCTCCGAACTTTTTCGGCACCCGAGTCATGTTCCAGAGCAGGTTACCGAATACCGTTTCACCGATTCAGTTAACTGCGTCACGTTTTCCTGAGCTGGACGCTGGCGGCTGGCCTTGAATTGGCTAGCGCCGCATGCTCCATGAGCGTTTCAGGGCTGTGCGTGGCGGGGGAGGGGGTGGGGTCCGGCGGCGTCAGGTGGGGAGGAGTGCGGGGGGGGGGGGGGCTGACCAGCGTGGCGGCCCTGGCCCGCTGCCAACACCGACTCACGCCACGCCACGCCGGGCTGAGCTCAGTGTTCACCCAGCGCAGAACTTCAGTAACCCTTCGAGCATTCTTGACGCTTCTACGCTATATTTATTTTGCCGAGAGCGTGATCTTTTTTTTGTAAATTTTTGGTTTAACACATAATGACTCCCCTAAAGGAGATATCTTTCCTCAATGTACCAAACTACGCCTGTGGCCCGTCGCGCCAGGTCCACAGGGCTGGAGCCGCGCGTGGTGGCCGCAGCCGCCACCTCCGTCCCGTCGGCGCCGGGCCACCGGTATTTCGGTGTGACGGAGGCGCCGCGCCGTCGTGTCGGCGCCGACGGCAGCCCGCGGGGGCGGCCGTCGGACGGGGTGACCGGCCGCCCCCGCCCCCGCCCCCGGCCGGCCGCCCCCGCGAGCCGCGGCCGGAGCCGTCTCCTGTCTGACCCCGGGGAGGGAGGGGGAGGGAGAGGGGGAGCCGCCGGGCGGGCAGCTGAGGAGCGGTGGGCGCCAGGCTCAAAGTAGGACACCGGCGGGCCCTGAACCACTCGAACCAGAGGCTCCGGCACGCTGCGGGGCGCTCTTGGAACGCGGCCGGTGCGACACCGGCCCGGCTGGGCGGCAGCGGCCCGGCCCGGCCCGGACCGGACCGGACCGGACCGGACCGGACCGCAGCTCCCGGATCTCGCGGATCTGTCCGATGCCGCCTGGCGGGCCTCCTTTCTGCCCGATTGCGCAACCCATCTTAGCGCTGCCCGTCTGCCGAGTGCCGCGGAGGTACGGACGGGGAGGGGGAGGTGCCCCGCCGCGGCGCCCGCTCAAAACAACTCGGCTCCCGGATGCGGCTGCCGACTGCAGGGCGCGCGCAGCTCACGCGCCGGGACGCTCACCAGCTGTGGGCGCTGCTTCAAAGGGGGGGGGGGCGCCGGCCGGCCGGTGCGCCGATTCAGGCGGTGGTCCCCGGCGGGCGGCCCGAGCCGAGCACCGTCCCCGGCGGCGGCCCGATTCCCAGCCAGCTAACCGCGGCGGGGTAACCCGGTGCAGAGGAGAGGGGTGGCGGGCCGCCGACAGCGCCCAGCGCCGGCCGTGGGACGCTGCGCGGGGAGCTAACTGCTGTGCTGTCCCTATGGGAGGCCGCCGGCTACCGGGCCGATACCGGGCTCTTACCGGGCCGATACCGGGCTGTTACCGGGCCGATAACGGGCCGATACCCGACTTTTACCAGGCTGTAACCGGGCCAATTTCGGGCCGTTACCCGACTGTTACCAGGCTGTTACCGGGCCGGCTACCGGGCCAATTTCGGGCTGTTACCGGGCTGTTACCGGGCCAATACCGGGCTGTTACCAGGCTGTTACCGGGCCGGCTATCGGGCTGTTACTGGTCTGTTACCGGATTGCTATGGGACCAATATCGGGCTGTTGCCTGTCTGTTACCGGCCAATTACCGGGCCATTATAAGACTGTTTCTCGATTGTTACCGGGCTGTTACCGGGTAGAATGTGTGCCTCACGTGGTATCCGGGGGCGCCCCGGGTGTGTCAGCGGGCGCCGGCCGGGCAGACCCGGGATCAGCTGTCCCGGGAGAGTCTGTCAGCGGGCGCCGGCCGGGCAGACCCGGGATCAGCTGTCCCGGCCGAGTTACGGCAGTCTCGCCACATGTGGTTTCCCTCTCAGTATGATCCGAGTGCCGTGCCTTTATCCCGCACCTGAGCATAATCGCAGTCAGACCGGAGTCCAATCGGAGCTGCACACTGGCCCAGCGGCCGTGGAATGCCGTCAGTCCGATTTTCCTTCCCCACTCCACGGGGACGCCGGGCCGGCCGGCCGGCATGCCTCTCATGAGAGGCACTAACGGTCCCCGCAGACCTGTCGGGCGGGGGAGCTCACTCTGAAAGAGAAAGCAGCTGTGGTGCTCGGTGGAGCGTCCCGCCATCCGCTGGCGGCACTGGGCCAGCCGGCGGGGCGCCGCGGCTCCCACGGCGGCTCCCCGGCGCCCGGCCGACCATCGAAACACAGGCCCTCGATCGGGCGGGGAACTATTCATTCAGTTTGACGCCTTTAGGGCGAGCCGGAGGCTATTGGCTGACGCCATCGTGGCGTATATTGTTCGGCTGCTTTCGAAGATAATGTCAAGACTTGATCTGTGAGAATACACCCGCATATACGGGTTACCGTCGATGGACTGTTCTCGCTCCGTTCTCGGACGGTTCTCCGTACATGCTCGGGCCAATATACCCTGGCTCGGTCCGCTCCGTTCTGGCTCCGTTCTCGCTCCGTTCTCGATCTGTTCTCGATCTGTTCTCGATCTGTTTTCGGTCTGTTTTCGGTCTGTTTTCGGTCTGTTCTAGTTCCTTTCTCGGTCGGTTTTCGATCTGTTCTTGCTCTGTTCTAGTTCCTTTCTCGGTCTGTTCTCGCTCCATTCTCGCTCCGTTCTCGCTCCGTTCTAGTTCTGCTCTCGGTCGGCTCTCGGTCGGTGCGCGGGCACGCCGAGCTGTTATGCGTCCGCCGCTGTATGTACGGCGATGTTTTTTCTGGCGTCCGGCCCAGTGTCGCCGCCGCCGCGGCCGCCGCGTGGCCACGTGCCGGTGCGTTTCACTTTTGGCGTGGTGTCCGGCGCCGGCGGCGGTGCCGGCCAGACAGCCATTCATGGCGGCGCGCGCGGCGTGCGGCCGGGCCCGTCTGCCGGGCCGGCGAAAGCTGCGGCCGCCGCCGGCCGCCGGTCGCCGGTGAAAATAGCCGCGCACATTGCGATGCACGCTGCACGATGGATTAACATAATATATCCGGGCGGCGGGCGAGGCGTTTGCGAAAATCCGTCGTTGCGCCGGCGAGTCTCGGTAAGATGGGCTGGTCGTACATAGCTGAGGGAGCTCAGCCTGCCGCTGTTGATGGTAACCGGCGGAATTTCTGGCGCTCCGGCCGTCTCCGGGCCGTCTCTGGACTGTCTCTGGACTGTCTCCGGGCCGTCTCTGGGCGGTGGCCGCCGGCCGCGGTCTCCAGGGAGACCTGTCGGCCCGCCACACTGCTCCTCTGACCGCCGAGCCGCGGTCCGAGCAGTGAGAGTGGCCGGTCCGGGACCACCTCCGGACCGGAGAGTCCGGACCGCCAGACCAGAGAGTCCGGGTCCGCCACACCGCAGAGTCCGGGTCCACCAGACCGGAGAGACCCAGATGGACTCTGGCGCGTCCAGGTGGCATATGGGAAGAAAACATCGTCATGCTCCAACAATGGAAAGATCGGAGCCAGTGAAGAGCGGCCCAGTTTAAGCCCAGTTATGAGTGTGGACGGGGGCGGATCACCATTGTCTCCGGCCGTGGGACATAGTGTTTGGCCGACTGTTCCCTGTTACCAGGCAGCGCCGAGCCGCAAACGGGCCCACCGAGACATTCGGGTCCCGCCGAGGTCTCGCGGACGAGCCCACTGGGACAGACGGCCCCGGTAGGAGGCGGGCCAGTCATTGGTGTCCTAAAGGCTGCGGTGGGCTGTCTTTTCCCGTTGACGGCTGTGCGCGCTCGGCTGTGTCCGTGTTCAGCGCTCGGCTGTGTCCGTGTTCAGCGCTCGGCTGTGCCCGGTTGTTCGAGTGCCGCGGCCGGTGTTCGGTCGGCCGGCGGCCCGTCCCGCTCGGCCACTGTCAGTGGCCGCAGGTGTTTAACCGGGCGGCGGACGGATGGACGCCCGGCGGCGACCACTTTCTTCTGCGGTCTCCGCGATGGTCCGACACCTGCGACGGCCGATGAACGGGCGCCGGGGACTGCTTCCAGCATCTGCAGGTGTTACCAGCCGGAGAGCGTGAGCGCGCACTGGTCAGTCGCTTGCGCAGCCGCGCCGGTCCTCGGTCGCTCCCTGTACGGCAGAGTACACCGAGACAGCTCCCCTGTACGCCGTTGAGTGGCGGATTTCGGGGTGTCGGCTCTCCTGTCCGCCGGTGGCAGCGGCGACAGTCGTGACGGATGTGACGGATGTCAGCGGTCCATTGGCAGCGTGACAGCTGCAGTCGGTGACAGTGGCGGATGTCGGCATGTCAGGTGTGACGGATGTCGGGCCGTCCACGGACCGAGTGTGGCAATGTGACAGCTGCTCGGTAGGCGCGGGGAAAGCTGGACTGGCGGGCGCCCCGAGCTCCGCGGCAGAGAAACAGCCGGGACTGAGCAGTCCAACAGCCGGGACTGACCAGTCCAGCGGCCGGGACTGTCTTCTGGTCCAGCTCACCAGGTCACCGGTCACGTGCTCCCCGCCGCTCACCAGGTCAACGGTCACGTGCTCCCCGCCGCTCACCAGGTCAACGGTCACGCGCTCTTAGCCTCTCAGCAGGTCACTGGTCACGCGCTCTTAGCCTCTCGGGTGACGATGTAAAGTGCCGTCTTTTTATTCTGTTCAGCGTTATCTACAGCCCTGACAAGTGCAGCACTGTAGGTATGTGCGTCGTGTCACGCACGTGCGGCGCTCACTCTCCGCGTGCTTCCTGCACTGCTTGGTGAAGATAGTCGGGTCGGAATCTCTCCGCGCTGCTGCGTCCTGATTGAAATCGAGAGCCAAAACCAGCTGCTAGGGCCTGTTCTACACTGGGTCAGAGATAGCTGTTGAAGTTATTATCGGCCGGAAGGGAAGCATATCGGTCGGTACCAACATCTGGGCCGCTCAATATAGAGCCATTGTTCTCAATTAGTGCGGCAACACGAGGCGAGGTGTGCAAATGATCTGCACGCCTTACAGCGGCATGCAGCCTTACAACGAAGATCGTATCGGCCGGTAACGCGTTGGCTCTTTCCGTTGAGAAAGCTGTCGTTGCAGCGCTAACCGTCTTCTGCTGCCAATAATAGCCGAGCTCGGGGCGCAGTACCGCCGGCGCAGTCTCGGCCCGCGGGTCAGCGCTGCGGCCGGAGACCAGCGGTCCCGACCGGAGAGACCAGCGGTCCCGGCCGGTCCCGGTCCGATCCGGCCCGGCGCTGTCCCGGCCCGGCCCGGCGCTGTCGGCTCTGAGGATTGTGGAGTGTGGAGGGCTGCTGCTGGGCTGCTGCTGGGCTGCTGCTGGGCTGCTGCTGGACTGCTGCTGGACTGCTGCAGGGCTGCTGCTGCTGGGCTGCTGCTGGCGCGCCGCTGGGCTGCTGCTGGCGCGCCGTCCACCGCTCGCCGCTCGCAGCTCACCGCTCGCCGCCGGGGCCGACTGACCCACATGGCAGAGCCGACCCGGGGCGGGCAGCACGCACACGGCCCGGGCCGCCGCGTGATCTGGTCACCGGGCGACTCCGGCTCCGGCTCCGGCTCCGGGCTCTGCCAACTGCGCAGTGTCATAACCGGAGCGTCGGCACTCGGCAGTCGATAGTCGCGGAAACCTGACCGTCCAGACGTCTGTGCCCCACAGACCTGCAGGTGCTGCCTACCAGGCAGGTGCTCGCTGCAATAATCACATTGCGAATTTTACGTTGCACATTATTCTTCACAATTGTGTTGGGCTTTTAGTATCTATGTTAGGCGCCTTGTTTGCCACTTACAAAACTTTATAGTTTAGGGTTCAGAATGCATATCACCCTCAGCTATTTTATCCTGTAAAACTGCCCTCATCTGATGCCAGGTCCCTCTGACCGGTCTTGAGGCGTCCCAGCAGCGGCCTTTTTCTGGGTCCTTTCGGTGGTTTTTCTTTCACATCATCAAGCGAGACCGTTTGCTTTGACTAATTAGGGCTAAACCAGACGTGGAATAAAAAAAAATCACGGCCACCACGGTTTCCACAGAGCTCCCGTAGCAGACGCACTGCGCTCGGAGGCGAGTCAGTCGCAGTCAGAGCTCCGCACCATGTATCTCTGAGATCGATTCGTGTGTCCGGCGCGGCGCGGCGCCCCAGTCTCCGCGCGGAGAGAGAGAGCGAGATGGCGTCTCTCGGCGGCGGATGTCGTCACCACCGCGCCAGTTTCGCCGCGCCGCTCCGAGAGCTGCTTGAAGCCAGCTCGGCGCGCCGATGGCGGCGCGGCGGCGGCGCTCGTGGAGCGGTTGCGTCACGCCGGCTGTGCGCCGATTACGGCGCCCTGCCGGCGGCCCCGGAGGCTGGCCAGGTGAAACAGCACGATCTGCGCCGCGCGCCGCGCCGGCCGCGGTCAAATGGTCAATCGGCCGCCGCGGGGCGGGCGGGCGAGGGCGGCAGCGGCGAGCGCTGAATGGAAACTTACTCGGCACCAGTCTGGAGCGGCTGGGTTCCGGCCTGGGGCACAACGCGGATCTTTTTACTTATCAGAAGAACTTGATGCATGCGGTAACTGATAAGAATGAACGCCAATCCATATGTTTGAAAAGGTTTTATGATGCCGCCGTGACCGCTGTGTACCACTGTTAGACGTTGTTTTAGCTGGACAGGCGTTTCCCTGCGGCTGTGTGCCTGCCGTCGCCCGTCGGTCACGCTGCTGCCGGTAGGTACAGGTGTGCGCTGGTTGTCTGATGTTCAGTCCTGCACGGGGACTTCTTCCGCCCTCTGTGGAGTGTGAACTGTGAGCCAGGCCGCGCCGAGTCCGGCAGCCACACGTCTTATCGTAAAAGGGACAAGTACAAAAAAGGAACGCTGAGTTTAAATAAATTTCGCCATATTTTCACCGAACATTACCATGTCATTTAAATATGTTGAAAGTCAATACCTATCATCAACACGTTGTATATTTTAGTCTAGACAACTTGATCACGGCTTTGAAGTTCAGGCACGTTTTTTTCGGGCTACTTGCAGGTTATTTGCACAATGTCGGATGCCACCTAATTCCAGCGCCACGGACGAGGATGAACTCTGGCGCCTTACCTCAATTGGAGCATTTCCACTTGCCCATCTGTCTTTGTTTCATCCTTCCACCTACCGGTTTTGCACGGACTTCGATGTTATTCACAATGCACATTGCGCAATACGTAGGCTCATATTTATGGCCATTATTTGCGGCTCATGAGCAGACTGGTTTTTAATCCAGAATGAATGGACGGGCGGTGGCTGGCCTTGGGCATCACTAACCTTGGATAATATTGGGCCCGTTTCGTCTGCAACCAGCGAGCCCATCACTGGCGTGCAGAACCCGATGACCTTGTCATAATCAGCGCCGTGACTGCCATAAATCATAGACGGCGAGTCGGCGACCGACCGCTCACCGAACGTTTGAAGCAGCGCGGACTCGGCGCGCATTCTGTGCGTTTTGTTTTTCAAAGAATGTCTGCCGTGAAACTGTCCCTTGGGGTTTCCCAGCATGCGGTGGACTCGGCTGCCGCCACTGGCCGCTTGGGCCGACTCAGGGGCCGCCGGACAGTGGACAAGCCTTCTCAGTGACTGCTACACAGGGCCTCGCAGTGGCTGCTACACACTACACAGACTGTCCCAGTGGCTGCCACACTGACCCTCTCAGTGGCCGCTGGACAGTGGACAGGCCCCATCAGTGGCCGACTCAGTGGCTGCCACACAGACCCTCGCAGTGCAGGTGACCGGCCGCCGGCCGCCGGCGGGCCCTGACCTCCCTGCCCTGCCATCGACCGGCCGCCTGCCTGTTTGTCGGGTCTCTACGACTACGGCCGGAGCCGGCCGGCCGGCCGAGGTCAGCGCCGGTCGGCCGGCCGTGCTCCTCGGTCCGCAGCTCTGCTCTCTGTAGGTGTGCGGCTTTGCAGCTGTCTGCGTGCTGTACCGCGGACAGCTGCTCTACAACGCTGCGTTCGTGGCGGTAGCGGCTCTGCACACTGCACACGTTTGCAGTGAGGATCGAAGCGGGCAGTGACGAATGTCGGTTATGTAACTGCCAACGGCGGGCGCCCCCGGGGCAGGCTGACCCCGGGCGGGCGCCCACGGGTATATGCGGCCGACCGCGGCCCGGGCGCTGGTATAGACAGTAGAAACGCGCAGTCGGCTCGACTCCGGACGGACGGTCCGTTCTGGGGGGAGGGGGGGCATGGAAACCCGGTGCGCTGCCGCGGGGGGGGGGAGGAGCACGAAAATGGAGCCCGTTTGCTGCGACTGGTGGTCAAGGCTGCTCAAACTGACGCGTAGAGATTTGCGGAGTGGCTGTGTTTTGCTGACCCGGTGTTGGTGACATGGGACTGTTAGGTGGGACAGAGTCGCCCCAATCAACAGCCGGTTGTCCCAGTGTGTCCCCAATTCAGCGCACTCACTGACACTTATCACCGTTTAGAAATGAGAAAGCTGGCCGGTCTCCCTGAACTCTGCTTCGCCATGCTTAGTCATCGAAATCTCAAATCACCCTTCCAAGAGGAGACTACCATTCCGTTTGTAGGTTATCACCTGGCTTCTCTGCTGAGTAGTTACGTAGTTACAGCTAGGTAGTTACGGTACCTCATCATTTGCACGGCAGTAGAACAGGCGGCGCCTGCGGGCGGTCAGTGATGGTCCGTGGTGACTGGACTGCCCGGGTCCGCAGTCAGCGCCGCTCGGAGGGACGCCCTACCCTCGGCGTTGTCTGTGCGCAGCATGCCGCGCTGGCGCCGTGCTGAGTGCAGGCTCTTGCCATCCTCCCTCCGGTGTGAAGTGACCTCTGCTGCCCAGTCATTATTGTTAGCGGGCCTTCACCGGGGAAGCAGTTGGGGGTTGGGGTTGGCTGAAGAAGTGAAGAGAACCCCTTGCTCTTCTCCTCGATCATCTACGTATTCGGTGAATTTAATACAAAGTCGAACGATCCAATGCTCCGTCCGTGTGTTTTGTCTCGCCCGCACTAGTCCCCGTGTGTTGTGTCTCGCCCAAATTGGTCCCCGTGTGTTGCGTCCCGCCTGACCCCGTCTCTGTATGTTGCGTCTCGCCTGACTCGGTCTCTGTATGTTGCGTCTCACCTGACTCGGTCTGTGTGTGTGTTGCAGAGCGGCACGCTGCTGGTCCCCGTGTGTTTCGTCTCGCCTGACTCGGTCTGTGTGTGTGTTGCAGAGCGGCACGCTGCTGGTGACCCGGGAGCAGGCCACGCTGCTGGAGAAGATGGAGCGCCTGCTGAACAGCCCCGGCCAGGAGGACCAGCACCTGGCCACGCTCACCTTCGACCAGGTGCGCCGGCTGGACGGCGTGCTCAACGACGTGGTGCCCATCCACGGGCGCGGCAACTTCCCCACCCTGGAGGTGAAGCTCAAGGACCTGGTGGAGGTGGTGCGCGCCCGGCTGGAGGCGGACGGCGTGCACGTCAGCAGCGTGCGCGTCAACGGCGGCGCCGCCAGCCACATCCTCAACACGGACGACAGCCAGGTGTACAACGACCTGGACCTCATCTTCCTGGTGGACCTGCAGACGCCCAAGGACTACGACCGCGTGAAGACGGCCGTGCTGCAGTCGCTGCTCGACTTTCTGCCCGAGGGAGTCAGCAAGACCAGGATGAGCTCGTGCAGCATGAAGGAGGGCTACGTGCACAAGATGGTGAAGGTGAACGACACGGACCGGTGGTCGCTCATCTCGCTGTCCAACAACGGCGGCCGCAACGTGGAGCTCAAGTTCGTCGACTCGATGAAGCGCAAGTTCGAGTTCTCTGTGGACTCGTTCCAGATCCTGCTGGACTCGATCCTGCTGTTTTACCGGTGCGCCGAGCAGAAGCTGATCACGGAGAACTTTTACCCGACCGTGGTGGGTGTCAGCGTGTACGGCGACTTCCAGGAGGCGCTCTACCACCTGCAGAAGAAGCTGATCGCCACCCGGCGGCCCGAGGAGATCCGCGGCGGCGGCCTCCTCAAGTACTGCAACCTGCTCGTCAAAGACTACAAGCCCGCCCAGCCCGAAGGCATCAAAACCCTGGAGCGCTACATGTGCTCGAGGTTCTTCATCGACTTCCCGGACGTGATGCAGCAGCGGAACAAGCTGGAGACCTACCTGTCGAACCACTTTGTGGGCACGGACGAGCCTCTCAAGTACGCCTACCTGATGGTGTTGCACAAGGTGGTGGGCGACTCGACCGTGTGCCTCATGAGCCACGAGCGGCGCCAGACGCTCGGGCTGATCGAGGAGATCGCCTTCGCCGTGTACGTGCAGCAGCAGCAGCGCATGCTGCAGAAACACTACGACGCCCAGCTGGCCGGCGGCGGCGCCGTCATCCTGGCGCCCTTCTACCCGGCCCAGTCGTATCCGTGCACGTGCAGCTGGCTCAACTGCGCCTAACGGCCGCCGCGCGCCGGTCGGCAGCGCGCCGGCCGGTGATATTGGCCGCTGCCGGGGCGGCACGTCCCCTCCCCTGGCCTCCCCTGGCCTCCCCTGTCCCGTCCCCGGGGCGCCCCACTCATCTCGCCCGCCCCTCCCGTCCCCCGCCCCTCTCAGTCCCCTCCCTGTCCTGCCAGCACCCCCGGCGGCTGACCTCTGACCTGCCCGCCGCCACCGCGCCGCGTCTGCATCAACGTCTCGTCGGAGCCCACCAAAACCTCGACCTCCGCCTCGGGAAATCTGCGCCCCGTCTACGGCCACATCTCCAGCGCCGGGACCAGCGCGACGGCCGGCCGCTCCGCCAGGTAAGCGTTGCTGTCAGGGAGGGCTGACTGTGACGTGTCGCGCTGTCCCGTGCCGGTCTGACCATGTTGACCTGCTGCGCGCTGTGTGACTGCCGGCCGCGGTGCCCCCGGCGGACGGACGGACGGGCGGCGGCGGCGTTCCACATTGCACTGGGTGAGAGCCTCGCTCTGCCTGGCGGCTGGCGCCGCCCCGCTGCCGGCTCCGACTCTAATTGGGCCCGGTGACAAACGGTGGCCGCCGGGCTCTCCAGGAAGGCAGGGGCCGCGACCGGGGCAGTGCCGAGACGGAGATCAGCGGCCCGGAGGGGCTACCACCTAACGGCCGGCGCAGTGGGCGCTGCATAATGCAGATAGAAATTACTGTCGCTGGTATAACGGTATTGTAATTGCAAGACGGAAGCTGGCCAGAACGATTTGGGGATGATGCTAGGGAGCGATAAAGTAGTCATGTGAGATGAGGTCGGTCATGTGACACACATTCCGTCGGCCATTAATTGCACCTCCTCAGTAGGTCCCCAACGCTCGTTTGCTGCTACTAATAGTAGCGAAATGTTTTCTACATTGTACTGGATTTACGAGATTCCGTTCATCGAAGGATCATTATCCCTCCTGCCTGACCTCTCGATAGGCAACATGTGTCTCTACAAATCGAGTCACCGAGGAGCGTTCTTCCCGGCGGGACTGGGGACCCGGCGTGGCGCTCTCTCTCTCTCTCTCTCTCTCTCTCTCTCTCTCTCTCTCTCTCTCTCTCTCTCTCTCTCTCTCTCTCTCTCTCTCTCTCTCTCTCTCTCTCTCTCTCTCTCTCTCTCTCTCTCTCTCTCTCTCTCTCTCTCTCTCTCTCTCTCTCTCCCTCCCTCCCGAGTCCTTAGCGGTGGCTCAGCGCACCGCTGGCAGCCTCCCAGAACAACTTTTACCGGCCAGCCGAAGCCAGCTCGCCAACCCGCTATTTTCTCGTCACTCGGCGGCTCAAGGCCCCGGGTGACACCTCGGCTGGCCGGCCAGTCGGCCCCGGCCCGGCCCCGGCCCCGGCCCCGGCCCCGGCCCGCACCTGGCCCAGGGCGCGCATGCGCGTGAAAATCGGGGTCAGCAGAGCGTCCGTCCGATCCAGATGAGGCGGCGGCCGCTGCTCTCGGGCCGGAGCGGCGGCCGCTGCTCTCGGGCCAGAGCGGTGCACCGCCCGCCAGCACGGGCCAGCCCGGACCGACCGGCGCGCCGCCGGTGGTCCTTCGATGGCCGCCGCGGATGTGATCGTGTCTCACTGTGATTTTTACTTCCTCATTTTTGTGTTCGATGATAAGTTGATGCGACAAAAATAAGGTGGATCATGCTGCTGAAGGTAATGGCGAGATTCGGAACGAGGCCTGCATGCCCGGTGCATTTCAAACATGACCAAAAGTGAGACCAGTGTCGTCTGAAAAACTGAATTCCCCGCCGGCCCTGGCGCTCGGCGGTTCTTGGGGACCGGCCGCTGTGCCTCTCCGCCCAGTCAGCTGCAGCTGACTGGGCGGAGAGGCGCGGTGACGTCCAGCGGTGTGCGGCCTTGGGTCCCGGCGCCGCGATACGTCCGCGCTGGCCGGCGGCTCCGGAAGGCGGCACTGGGTCAGACGAGCCGTGCACTGGGCCGTGCACTGGGCCAGGAGCCGTGCATTGTGCGGCAAGGTCGCCACGACACAAAAAGGGGCCGGGAGGACCGCTGCTGCTAGGTGTGGGCAGAGCCGGGAGGACCGCTGCTGCTAGGTGTTGGCGGCAGCGATCAGCGGTCGTCAGGACGGCCTGCTCCAGCCCGTCTGAGTGAGCTGTCCACTGGGTCTGTTCGGGCGGGACTGGAGCACTCCGCCCTCCGCCACGCAGCTGACTGAGTGCGTAGCCGTCACGGAGCCGTCACGGAGCCGTCACGGAGCCGAGTGCGGAGCCGCCACGGAGCCGTCACCCGGCGACGGCCCCTGGCGGCTCAGATCAGCTGAGCGACTGGGCGCTACTGATTTCCCTGCGTATCGGCAGCTGACGCCATGTGCCGGGTGTCGTCTCTGCGGGAGCATCTGCTCGGCTCGGCTCGGCTCGTCAGCCCGCCTCAGTCAGCCCTGTTCAGCGCTGGTCACGTGGTGTCTAGGGCCGGTAAAAAGCCCGGTGAAACCCAGACCACGTGACCGCCGGCCGGCGCTCACTTTCCCGCGGCGGAACGTCTGGCGGGCGACCAAAGCACGACCGAGACGCGCCGTCTTCGCCACCGGTCCCCGCCGCCTGCCCTGCCGTCTGGCGGGCCCCGCTGTCTGCCCTGCCGTCTGCCGGTGCCCGCCGTCTGCCCTGCCGTCTGCCCTGCTGTCTGGCGGGCCCCGCCGCCTGCCCTGCCGTCTGCCGGTCCCCGCCGCCTGCCCTGCTGTCTGTCTGTGCCCGCCGCCTGCCCTGCCGTCTGCCGGTGCCCGCCGTCTGCCCTGCCGTCTGCCCTGCTGTCTGGCGGGCCCCGCCGCCTGCCCTGCCGTCTGCCGGTGCCCGCCGTCTGCCCTGCTGTCTGGCGGGCCCCAGCTGTCTGCCCTGCTGTCTGTCTGTGCCCGCCGCCTGTCCTGCTGTCTGGCGGGCCCCAGCTGTCGGCCCTGTGCTCCGCTGGCAGACGTCTGTATTTCCGCTACAGAACTCTTCCTTACCGAGACATCTCTGAGCTCGGGCTCGGAGCTGCGGGCCGGCAGCCCAGCCCACCATCTGCCACAGTTCAACCACTGGCGGACCGCCCAGCAACACAGCACGTGTGCGCCCGGTGGCGGGCGGCCGGCCGGCCGGGTCAGCTGGTCGGACCGACTCCGGGGCGCCGCGCCCCCCCCGTCTGGCTGAGGGGGGGGGGCGCCGTCTGGTCTGGCCCGTCGCCGGCTCCGCCGGCCGCCCGCCGTAGTCAGGCCGGCGGTGGAGGGGACCCCAGCCCCAGCACATGGCGGGACAGCGAGCTCCAGACTGTGGACAGGCCGGCCGCAGACCGCGCCCAGCCGGCGGCACGGTGCCAGAGCCGTCCAACTGCGATAGTTTCCCAGTTTGGCAAACTGTCGTGTGTGTGTGTTGGTGTCTCGCCCTCTGCTGTTTCGTTCTGTTGTGTCCGGCCCCCCTGACGCGGTGGTGCGCGGACGGCTCCGGGCTGACCGCTGTGCCAGCCCCTGACCGGGACTGCACCGAGAGGGGCGGCCATGGGACACTGACCGGGACTGCAGTGAGAGGGCCAGGCGCTGACCTGACCCGGACTGCAGTGGAGGCCGACCCGTTACCTCCTCATCACCACTCATCACCAAGATCTCGCCTCTGAGCTATGGCCGCTCTCTCCCGACAGTGCAACTGCACAATCGTCGGCCGGTCATTAGGCCGTGATTAGTGTAATGGCGGCCCGGCGGCGACCGGTCAGTAGGTGCGGCGCGGCCGGCCTGGCCTGACCTGGCACTGGGGACTGGGCCGGCCTGGGACTGGGGACTGGGCCTGACCTGGGACTGGGGACTGGGCCTGACCTGGCACTGGGGACTGGGCCGGCCTGACCTGGCACTGGGGACTGGGGCGGCCTGGGACTGCGGCGCGGCCTGACCTGGGACCGGGGACTGGGGCGGCATGGGCCGACCTGGGACTGGGCCGGCCTGGCCTGACCTGGGACTGCGGCGCGGCCGGCCCTCGGTAGAGCTGGGGACTGGGGCGCCCCCCCCCCCCGGTTATCCCGGAGCCCCCGTTTGTCCCCGGCAGCGGTCGGTCCGGTGTCCATTGTTCCCGCTGAGAGGCGGAGTGAGGCGTTATTTCGTTAGTTCCAGCCCACCGACGCGACGGGGCCGCTGGAACCCGCCGCTCTGCTTCCAGTGACCGCCCTCGGCAGATCTCCGGGAGCCGAGTCCCGCCGGGCCCGGGGGCTGTGTCTGGGAGCCCGACTACAGTAGGAGCGGGGTGCGGTGGAACTAGGAGCCCGGCGCTAGGTGGGCGCTGCCGAATTGCCGGATTTAGACGTGCATTGGCTATCACTAGTTACTAATTTGCGGGTCAGTAGACTAATTCGCGGGTGGAACAGCTACGATTCCTAGGATGCCTAGAAGTGACGGTGACGACGAATAGCGAATCGGAGGCGGATGGGTGTTGCCTGGACCACTGACTGATCGTTGACCGGATCAATATGTCGACTATTCCGCCGTCGGCCCGGTAGTCACCCATCCCGTCCGTTAGAGGTCTGCACCGGCCGGCTGCAGCCGCGGCTGGCTGCAGCCCCACGGCTGTGGGCCGGGGCGGCTGCAAATATCTCCAAGAACACGGCTACGGCTGTGGCCACGGCTGTGAGATTTCAAGCTCAATCTAAGTACTCAAATATAAAATTTTAAATCCTTAATCTTACATTCTGATAAGCAGTCTAGCCTGTAAAAATCATGCAAAGGATGCCCAGCAACATTGAAAGTGGTGAAGCCTTTGAGAACCTGTAATGGTTTTACCATTTGCTGTAGGGGAGTTTGCACTCTGGTACAGAATACTAATAATAGGTACCAATTGTTCCTTCATCATCAAGAGCTTGACAGTTTCAGAAAATGCAACATGTTGCATTGTCACATCCCTCTCAAATCAATCTCACCTGGTCATGAGGAGAGCACCTTACAGCTATTGAAGACGAGCGTTCAATAATTCTTTCAGGTAATAGAAAAAGAAATCATGCCTAGGTAAAGGCAGGTAAAGGCTTAATAAAATATAAACTAAAATACCTCTTAGATGAATTTCTGGATTTTCGGCAAGTCCAATTACATAATATAAAACTGGCGCTTTATGTTCTAACTGGTGTGTGAGTGACCGCTAACAGAAAATGCCGATCAACGAAGCCAATGGAATTAGATTATAAGTGAGCATGAACCTTACTTACGGTTAATTCACATGATGGTGAAAACCCTGAACACGTAATTCACATGACGGTGAAAACCCTGAACACAATATTTCTTACGCGAGCTGTTGACTTTACTAACAAAATGACGTCTTTTTCTAAAAATATAAAAATTTGATACTTGATC